CCAGTGTGTTTCTATTGCCTCTGCAGTTTTGACAAATGGAGGAGGGGGGTGAGAGTGTGGCAGCAGTAATGGGCCAGGACAATGGTTTTTTCTCTTAGATTTATGCAACTGTGCCTCGAGTTGACATCCATCAAGCTAAGAGGCGTGATAGACAAGGAGCTCAGCCCCTGGTCTGCTATCATGCTGCTTAGCCTGATGTATTGTATGATCATCTGTCTCGAGCCATCTGAGCACTCACTGTAGTGAAAAGCATCCCTAATGCATGTGGTATGACTGAGAGATTAATCACAATGAACCAAAACACACTCCAAAGTTCACAACTGTTCTAACCTTGGCTCTTCAAGAATGGTGTGAACACACTGATGCTGCGGTCCCACCGTTGTCCAGTTCTGTGCCATGGCCACCATAGCACCAGCATCAAGAAGCCCATAACCGTACGAATGGCTGACTGTAAAAGAAGAAAGAACAAGATGTTTGAAAAAAGTCCACCCATTCCACTCTTTACAACCACCGTGGGCGATTACAAATTCACAGTATAGAGCAGGACTAACAAGTGTTCCTGTCCAAACTAACGAGCAACGGGCTGAAATGTGTTGCATGTTGTGACTCAGAGAGCAGGCAGGGTAACAACAGAACAGGGGCTTTGAAGATAAGTACGTTATACCCACCCTGCAGACACATTAAGTGGGAAAAAAAACAATAAGTGAAGTCGTTTTCTGTGCAGTATCGCAGTTGTTCGCCTTCTTTTTTTATCAAAGCTCTTCAAGGATGGGAATTCCAAATGAGCATTAGCTGTAAACGGTGAAATACTCCCATCATGCAGCTGGTGTCACTGTATCAACCCATGAAAACCATTAATAAGTAGCACACAATTCACTCGCCAAACGTCAGGCCTGCTTCTCTGCTTCATTGAGTGTTTACGACCGAGGCGCAAACATTACATCACACAGTACAATAGCGTCTCCACCTCTGCGTCCCACTCCATTTGTCTTCCAATCGCCGGCGCTGAGGTGTCCAGGTCGGGATGTTCGCACTACCAGGTGTTGCATATCCCTCCACGTCAGGTTCATGCTTGGGGCGGGGGGAAAAAGCAGAGAAATCATATTGACTTTCTGTCATGTAAGAGCTGAAGATATTATTTCGTACATGAGACACTGGATGAGAAATGTCAGGTTTCCATGACCTCAACAAAAATAAACCGGCAAAGGAAAGAGTAAGTGGCTCTGCAGACTGAGGACCCGAGTGGAATATAATCCAGCTTGGTCTGTACAGTATATAGGAGATCAAATCCTTACATTTGTGGAAGAAATGTATTGAGATATATTGAGGAAGCCCTGTGGGAGAGTTCAGTCAACCATTATAAATATATGGGCTCACATTAAGGTTGAACATCCACATAAAGCACTGGCTTTAAAGGACTGCTGCACTCAAAGGACAAAGAAGAATTAAATCTTTACCTCACTGTAATGACACTGAGTGAATGTGGAGGGAGGATGGGTGAGAGGATGGGTGAGAGGATGGGTGAGAGGATGGGTGAGAGGATGGGTGAGAGGGGGTGA